AAAAACTTACCTTCTCTTGGCTTTGCTTTTCCTACCTCTCTGAAATTTTTCCTTTCTTATTTTCCTTTTTATGTTTCTGTTTTTATTTTCTTTTAAATCATTTCTTAAATTTGATGTTCCCCAGGGTTTTCTGTTCTTGACTGTCTTCTCAAACAACATATAATTTGTGAGTGAAGCTGTATTAAACCAATTCAGTACTTGACAATAGTCAAATCTCTATATCCAGCTTAGGTCTCATTTCAAGTTTTAAACCCATATATTCAAATGCTTAATGGACAGTTTCACTTGGTCTTTCACATGCAATATATATAAGATATAACTTTTAAGAGTTTCTTTTTTTCCCTTAACTTGCAATTATTTATGTGTGGTCTAGTTCAATGAATGAGACTGTAATTTACCCAGTCCACCCAGTCAGAAACTTGAAAGTTATTCTGGGAGCTTTTTATCTGCTCCCACATCCAAGTAGACATGTTATCCTATCGATTTTACTCCTTAACATCTCATTCTTTTCATTGCATACTTCGTCCCCCAGTTGGACTATTTCACGTCCTAAGTGGTTTATACCTTTAGTCTTGAGGTCCTCCCCCAAACTGCTGCTTTTCTGAAATACCAAGATGGTTACACTGTTACCTTGCCTAATGCCCTAATGCCCTAATGCCCTAATGCCTAGCACCCTCCAAGTGCTCTCTTTCCCTTACAGGATAAGGTGATAAAGTGAAAAGCCCACTGAACGCCATTCAAGATTTATCAGGATTTGGATCCCGTTTTCCCCTTCGGCCTTATCCTTCAAGGGCACCTTTGCCCTGACCCACACTCCATTCTTGTTGAGCAACATCATTTGTCGATATATTTCTTGTATTGTTCTCTCTACATGGAATCACCTCCTCACTATCTCCTATTCCATTCCAGTTAATAAACACAAACTCACTTTTAATTATTCAGCTTCTAGAAAGGCCCACTTAACCCCCCTAAGGTAACACTGAGCACTCTGCCCCTTGTGCTTTTACTGTCTTCTGTAGAGAATTCGATGTTTTGTTTCACTTCTTTATTTGCGTGTATGTTTCCTTCAGCCAGTCTGTGCTTTGCTTGAGGCTGGCAGTGTACCTCATTCATCTTTGCATCTCCAGGACGCAGTTTCAGTGCCTGACAGAGTGAAGTGAAGTTGCCCAGTTGTGTCCAACTCTGCGACCCCCTGGACTGTAGCCTACCAGGATCCTCCATCCGTGGGATTTTCCAGGCAAGAATACTGGAGTGGGCTGCCATTTCCTTCTCCAGGAGATCTCCCGACTCAGGGATTGAACCTGCGTCTCCCGCATTGCAGGCAGACGCTTTACCGTCTGAGCCAGCAGCGAAGTCCTAACAGAGTGAGTCCTTAACAAATCTTTGTTGAATTACGCATCTTCCCAAATCCTCTTCTAGATGAAATAATCTATGTATGTTTTTTTTTTTTTCATTTATTTTTATTAGTTGGAGGCTAATTACTTTACATCATTGCAGTGGGTTTTGTCATACATTGAAATGAATTAGCCATGGATTTACATGTATTCCCCATCCCGGTCCCCCCTCCCACCTCCCTCTCCACCCGATCCCTCTGGGTCTTCCCAGTGCACCAGGCCCAAGCACTTGTCTCATGCACCCAACCTGGGCTGGTGATCTGTTTCACCCTAGATAATATACGTGTTTCGATGCTGTTCTCTTGAAACATCCCACCCTCGCCTTCTCCCAGAGTCCACAAGTCTGTTCTATACATCGGAGTCTCTTTTTCTGTTTTGCATATAGGGTTATCGTTACCATCTTTCTAAATTCCATATATATGTGTTAGTATACTGTAATGGTCTTTATCTTTCTGGCTTACTTCGCTCTGTATAATGTGCTCCAGTTTCATCCATCTCATTAGAACTGATTCAAATGAATTCTTTTTAATGGCTGAGTAATATTCCATGGTGTATATGTACCACAGCTTCCTCATCCATTCATCTGCTGATGGGCATCTAGGTTGCTTTCATGTCCTGGCTATTATAAACAGTGCTGCGATGAACATTGGGGTTTCAGATCTGGTTTCCTCAGTGTGTATGCCCAGAAGTGGGATTGCTGGGTCATATGGCAGTTCTATTTCCAGCTTTTTAAGAAATCTCCACACTGTTTTCCATAGTGGCTGTACTAATTTGCATTCCCACCAACAGTGTAAGAGGGTTCCCTTTTCTCCACACCCTCTCCAGCATTTTTTGCTTGTAGACTTTTGGATAGCAGCCATCCTGACTGGTGTGTAATGGTACCTCATTGTGGTTTTGTAAATAATCTATGTATGTTTTCTTGAGCTTACTTTTATTTCCTTGTTTGGAATACTCAAAGGTTTAATGTAATAGTTGAGACCATGGATTTTGGAGCCAAACTGCCTGAATTTAAATCCTGCCTCAGCCACCTTTTAATTTTGTAAACCTTTGGCATGCGTGTGTGATAAGTCACTCAGTCATGTCCGACTCTTTGCGACCCTATGGACTGCAGCTTGCCAGGTTCCCCTGCCCACTGGACCTCTAGGTTGACACAGAGCCCCTGTTTGAGTTTCCTGAGCCACACAGAAAATTCCTGTTGGCTGTCTATTTTACACATGGTCATGTAAGTTTCCAAATTACTCTTTCCATACATCTCACCCTCTCCCGCCCTCTCCCCATGTCCATAGGTCTATTCTCTATGTCTGTTTCTCCATAAACATGTCCATTTGATCAAGAGTCTTCAATCCTTCAGGAGGCTATTAATATTTTCCTTGGTAATTTTATGACTTACTAAAGTTTGAATAGTAAGTTATCAATTGATCTATGCATTTCAAATTGTTGGACTTGTTCTAGTTTGAAGTCATCAAAGGAATGATTATATGGACATTTCATATCCTTTTCCTTCCTACCTAGTGAGGAAGATTCTAGGGTTTGTGTCTCAACTATGCATCAGTTCAGTTAAGTCGCTTAGTTGTGTCTGACTCTTTGCAACCCATGAATCCCAGCATGCCAGGTCTCCCTGTCCATCATGAACTCCCAGAGTTTACCCAAACCCATGTCCATTGAGTCGGTGATGCCATCCAGCCATCTCATCCTCTGTTGTCCCGTTTTCCTCCTGCCCCTAATCCCTCCCAGAATCAGGGTCTTTTCAATGAGTAAGCTCTTGGTATGAGGTGGCCAAAGTATTGGAGTTTCAGCTTCAGCATCAGTCCTTCCAATGAACACCCAGGACTGATCTCCTTTAGGATGGACTGGTTGGATCTCCGTGCAGTCCAAGGGACTCTCAAGAGTCTTCTCCAACACCACAGTTCAAAAGCATCAATTTTTTGGCACTCAGCTTTCTTCACAGTCCACCTCTCACATCCATACTTGACCACTGGAAAAACCATAGCCTTGACTAGATGGACCTTTGTGGACAAAGTAATGTCTCTGCTTTTTAATATGCTATCTAGGTTAGTCATAACTTTCCTTCCAAGGAGTAAGTGTCTTTTAATATCATGGCTGCAGTCACCATCTGCAGTGATTTTGGAGCCCCCCCCGCTCCAAATGGTCAGACACTGTTTCCACTGTTTCCCCATCTACTTCCCATGAAGTGATGGGACCAGATGCCATGATCTTAGTTTTCTGAATGTTGAGCTTTAAGCCAACTTTTTCACTCTCCTCTTTCACTTTTATCAAGAGGCTTTTTAGTTCCTCTTCATTTCTGCCATAAGGGTGGTGTCATCTGCATCTCTGAGGTTATTGATATTTCTCCTGTCAATCTTGATTCCAGCTTGTGCTTCATCCAGCCCAGCGTTTCTCATGATGTACTCTGCATAGAAGTTAAATAAGCAGGGTGACAACATACAGCCTTGACATACTCCTTTTCCTTTTTGGAACCAGTCTGTTGTTCCATGTCCAGTTCTAACTGTTACTTCCTGACCTGCATCCAGGTTTCTCAAGAGGCAGGTCAGATGGTCTGGTGTTCCCATCTCTTTCAGAACTTTCCACAGTTTATTGTGCTTGACACAGTGAAAGGCTTTGGCATAGTCAATAAAGCAGAAATAGATGTTTTTCTGGAACTCTCTTGCTTTTTCGATGATCCAGCGGATGTTGGCAATTTGATCTCTGGTTCCTCTGTCTTTTCTAAAACCAGCCTGAACATCTGGACCATTCAGGTATGACCTAAATCAAATCCCTTATGATTATACAGTGGAAGTGAGAAATAGATTTAAGGGACTAGATCTGATAGACAGAGTGCCTGATGAACTATGGATGGAGGTTCGTGACATTGTACAGGAGACAGGGATCAAGACCACCCCCATGGAAAAGAAATGCAATAAAGCAAAATGGCTGTTTGAAGAGGGCTTACAACTATGCATATATGTGGCTAAATCACAGCCTCACATTTCCTTTACAGTTGCCTAAACATCACTGCATAGTTTTATCACACAACTGGGAAGCTGTGCATTTTATGAACACCATCACGCACACAGTTCCACTCACACAGTCATAACACATCAGATCAGAAAAAATTTATTAACATAAAGTAAAATGGCTTAGGGACTCTGCAATACTGATTTTTCTCGAATTATTTTCCTTCTGTTGGAAAACATTGAATTCCTCATTACCTTAAGGGTGAGGTTAGCTTGCCAGTAGCAGGTTTGAGAGATGAGAGCTAAGGTCAGGGGACAGATGTTTTCTTTTACAAATAACACTCCATTATGTATTGTTCCCCACCACCCACGCCCGAGCACGGGGAACGCAGATAACCCCAGCCTTCAGGTTTGTAATCTGACTGTGGCCATCGGCAGCCAGAAATGAGTTTCTTTCTAATCAGCCTCCCATCAGTCCCCAGACACTCATATAAAGGGCCTGGAAGGGGAAGATTTGCATCGCCTTTTCTTCAGCACCAGGGTTCTGGTCAGCGCCCCGAGAGGTCCGCCGCCAGCCAGCCCCTCTCACCTCGCCGCGGCTGCTGCCCTGCTCGTCTCCCTGCTGCAGAGAAAGCAGATTACACCGGGACCCATGCAGCCAGCAATGATGATGTTTTCCAGTAAATACTGGGCAAGAAGAGGGCTTTCCCTGGACTCAGCGGTGCCCGAAGAGCATCAGCTGCTCGCCAGCTCAACAGTGAGTCCTGAGTAGCGGGCAGTCTCTAGAGGAGCTTTTCCAGGTCGGGGACAGCCTTATCCTCGCCACTGGGACACCAACTCTAAACACACGCCCTGAATTCCTTCCTCATCTGTCTAACCTGCCTCCCTGCCGCCTCTCTCCACCCTTCTTTCTCTCTCCATAAAGCAAAGCAGGTGTCCTGATCTCTACGGGGCACAACTTTCTTTCCTCAAAGCTTTTGAGTTGAAGTAAAGAAGTTCCCGAATGTTAAGAATGAGAAGTTGTATGAAATAATGTCTTATATCAACAACCAAAATAAGTGTGCAGAATTTTTGAGAGGATTGTTTATTATGAGTTGAAACAGGGGGAAGAAATTAAATGGATTTCTATGGTTCCTGCAAGATTATTGTGTCTTCTGTACCCTCTTCCATCTACAAAACCTGGTCTTTAAACACAAAGTAATATTTTCTGTTTTTGTCTATAGATGCTGTTTTTTGGAATAAGAGAAAGATCAGATTCCTTTCAAAAGTTTTCCTGTGTTCCTCATTACTTCATTATTTTTCAGTTTAACTGATGGGATAGTGAAAGCAATACTCCACTTGTTTCAATATTTAAGGCAGTTTTATTAAAAAAACAGTAACAATAAAAAAGTAACATTTTGCAGGATTTAGAGCCTGATATGGGGTAATAATCATAGGATTTGATAAAGAAGACAGTGAATGAAAAATGTATTCAGATTTCTAGTTATTAAAAATATTAAATGATATTTCATTACCATACTACCAGAGTTAATCAACCAATTACAATTCAATGAGTATCATAGAAAAATCTGTTTTAGTATCATAGCTCTGACTGTGTGCCAGAGGGTTGTATTGTACTGGTATGTTGTTACTCCTAAAAATGTTGAAAAGTAATCAGGGCAAGTTTTGAAGAATTGTTTAAATCAATTTGCAAAAATGAGTCTAAAACATAAATAAGTTTTCTAACATTTAAATGTTGGAAATGAATATTTGAATGAGATATTACAATGAAGAATTCTGAAGCCACAGTGACCTTCTGGGAGGAAAACTAGGAAAACTCAGAGTTATGGTTAATGTGTAATAACCCTTTCGTATAGAAAATACGACTTAAATATATAAGATCTGTGGCAGATGTTGAGAGCACTACAACATTTGAGCTTTTAATGATGGAACATACTGTCAAATGCCAATGCCCGCATAAACTCCTTTTGTCCCTCAAGTCGTAAATTATAAAATGCTTATTTCTGTGATATGTAAATCTAGTGAGTGAGACAATAGTAACATGTGAAAATAAAGCCAGTAGAGAAATGAGAGGGAGAAAATAACAAAGAACTGTTCACTGAGTTCCATATCAAATGTGCATGTTTCAGTTTCATGAGCAAGTAATAGATTGGTGTGACTGCACTATATCACTGTCTGCCGGGGAGAAAGTTCTCTTTGCCCAGTTCTTCATCTGCATATAAAGAACATGGAAAGGTACACTCCGGTTTGCATTCTGCTGAGTAAAAGTTTCCAGCTTTTTAATTGTGTATTTCTGACAATATGATCCAAGTTTCTGAAATCTGTCATTTTTGCCTTTAGCCAGTAGGACCAATAGTCATTACTTAGTTATGTATTATTATGGTATCTTGGTTGGCCAATGAAGTGCTAATATTTTTCAGTTTCTCAGATTCTGCTCTTGGCTCCTAATGATGAGCTAGTCTCTTTGTTTCTTGATTTCTTTTTACCCTCCTCTTTCTTCCTGCCTTCCTTTCTCTCTCCCTCCCTCCCTCCTGTCCTTCATCTTTCTTTCTTTTCTTCAGTTTTTTCATGTAGCTGAATTTTTATGGCCACTTTTCAGATATCATCTGCTGACACAGGTGGCCTTCATTAAATACACTCGTATGGGCTAAACTTCTGCAGATAGACTCATATTGACCATGTGGATCTAACTGCAGAAAGTAAGGTGGTCAATTTTAGTGCATGTCCTGACATATTTCAGAACAAAACAAATATTTTGTTTTTAAGATTAATTGAAAAGAATTATTTTGAAAAATATGTTTAGTAATTAATATAGCTTAATTTTATGTTTACTAATTAATATATCTTCGATATAATTCAACTAGGCTAACAGATCAAACTTCATGCTGTAAAATCTGTTAGAAAGAAGGGAGTTATTCACACAAGAGACTTTATGATGGTCAGATTTTTGTTGCTATTAAAATGAAGCAAATATGATTTCCCTTTAATTTCAACCACTGGATGATATCTTTGAGCATTTCAAAATAGTGTCCATGAGTAAATTAGACCAGTACTTATGATCGATAATTATAAGTGACTTGGCAACTTCTCCTTGAGTTTGTATGCTTGCTAAGGGTTCCAGCATTTGAATGGAATGTCTGAAAAAGAATCTGGTTACAGAGAACTCTGGAATCCTAACTAATACTTTCGTGTGTGTTTCTACCTTTTTAAAGCTAAATAAAACTAACTCTGGCAAAAATGATGATAAAAAAGGCAACAAGGGAAGCAGCAAAAATGACACTGCTACCGAGAGTGGCAAGACGGCAGTTGTATTCTCCTTGAAAAATGAAGTTGGTGGATTAGTCAAAGCACTGAAACTCTTCCAGGTGAATGTAAAAATGTCATTATCTAACTTTAAAACTGTCTGTGTGCTGGTTTACAAACCTGTCATCTGTTACAAAATATCACTAGATATCTAGAAATGAATCCATTTCTAGATAATGTGTTGAAAGTCTCAAAGAGACCAAACTTCATGACACTATAAGAGGGGTTGGTCTGTCAAACAATAAAATAAACATTCGTGGAAATCATGGTTTATTAACTTAGAGTCAGCCGATTAGTAATTCTGCATACTGTTGTCAGGTGAGGAAGTTGGTAATTTGAAAGTGTGAGCAAACACAAAAGAAGCCAAAGATGGTAACTTTAAATATCAAGAGCTTGCAGCCTGATTCAGTTTGTTCATGTTTGAATCATGCATATGACCTAGAGCACATTGATGGCATAAAATGAGATATGTTAGTATAGGCACTCGTTATTCCGCTAAGATTCTTTGTTTCAAGAACCTAACCTGTCCTTTGTAAAGATGAGTCATTCTCCTTTTTTTTTTTTTAAAAAGATGAGTCATTCTCCTTATATAGGACCTAGGACTGTGTGCGTGCTAAGTTGCCTCAGTTGTGTCCAACTCTTTGCAACCCTATGGACTGTAGCTCACCAGGCTCCTCTGTCCATGGGATTCTCCAGGCAAGAATACTGGAGTGGGTTGCCATGCCCTTTTCCAGGGGAATCCTCCCAACCCAGGGGTTGAACCCACTTCTCTTACATCTCCTGCATTGGCAGGCAAGTTCTTTACCGCTAGCGCCACCTGGGGAGCCTGGGAGCTAGGGCTAGCTTTCTCTTATAGAAATATAGTCATCCAAATGGGTGGTTTGAAACCTTAAGAAAGAGCGTAGTTGAGGGGAAGGTTATAAAAACCCAGAAAAACTCTTGACTTCTTGCCAGGGTACCCCTGATGGCTTCCCTGTCCTTCAGGAAATGCCTCTTTTACCGGTGGGTTTTGTTTGGGGGCAGTGGCCATGATTAGAGCTGTAACAGGGGCCTAGCACTCTATGGTGCCTTGGGTTCCTGGTGCCATGGAAAGACTGAATTGCAGTCAGAGGTTTCAGACCCGTGTTCTCTTGGCTCGGCTAATCACTAGCTGCTTCCTAGATTCAATAGCTTCATTTGTAAAATAGCAGTAATAATTCCTACCTAACAAGGTTGTTGTGCTGAAATAACAGGAGTGTAAGTGCTTTGTAAAGTGTGCAGACATGAGGCATTATTGTGATGCCTCTTTGATGACCATAGAGGGGGAATTAGCAGCCTGTTTTGGCAAATATTTCCTTGTTCTCTTCTGACCTTGAAGAAAGGATCAGGTACCATAAATAGTGGTAATGGAAGTTTGGGGAACTATTTTACACATAATGATATCATCCAGTGCTGTCTCCATACAGTGCCCAAAGGCAGGCCAATTCAATTAGACAGCTGGGTGTAGCGGAAAAACCCCCTGGAGACAGACTCATCAGCTCTGAGTTTTCACTTGGCCATCAGCTGGTGATGGGGTCTTAGTTATATCACTTAACCCATCTGAACCCCAGTTTTCTTGTCTAAAAATATCCATTCTGCTTCAACTAAAGTCCACACAGTGACCCAGTTGTGTGAAGACGCTTGAACTTTGAACCTAATGTCAATCTTACCTTTATTACCTCCCAATTTAGAAAATATGGCATTATTGCAAAACTTATTAAAAACATAAATAGAACAATTAGCAGCCTGGTCACAGGATGAGTTTCTTTATACAGAGAAGGATGCTGTGCTTTCATCCTGATCTGGTACTGGAAATTGCCTCTCCTGCTGCTGTGCTGAAAGGTCTGAGGCCTCCCAGATTGTACTAGGAGTTATGCTGATAATCAGAGGATACCGTGGACTGATGGGGAGGGATCTGCTTGTCTGGGGCTGGTCAGGATGGAGAGGAGAACTTAAGTCTTCAGTTACCTGAGGACAAAGAAACACTACGTCCCTGGGGGGAATTTAAACCTGAGACTTGAGTATGAAATTGCGGCCCTGCTTTGAACATCTTATTGTAAGGAGATTTTACTCATGAAATCCATTGCGATAGTTGCAGCAACACATTCTTGGGTGAAGTTAGTTAGCCTGGAGGTTGCTGAAAGAGAATAGTTCCTAAGTGGTTCCATTAGGGAGTCTTCTTTTATTTCCTTGCCTACGGAGACCCTTCCTTGGCTACCTTTTCTTGCTTTTCTTTTTCCTTTTCTTGCTTCCTTCCGCCACCCCACCCACTAAAATGTGGGCCGCTCTTCGGTTAGTATGTCCCAAATTTCCCTCATTTTCATATCACCTTCCCCGTTTCTGCCTTATTTGCCTGCTGTTCATACTATTAATTATTTCTTCTACAATTATCTTAAGTTTTATTTCAAAAAGAAATGTTTTATTACTATAAAATCAAGAGTTTGAGTTATAAGTTTTTTGGGAAAATATATTAAAAAAAATCAACCTGACAGTATGATATATGACAGTATGATAAACTAAATTCCCCCCCAAATAATCGTGCATACCACCAGTGGGATGTGGACTCCTCTAGGAAATGATAATCTTCATAATGATTATACATTTTATGGGGCCTTTATATACCATAATGTCCCTCCTTGTTGAAAAAGAGACAGGAAAACCTACACACAATTACTATTCTTATTAATAGAGACAAATGGTTGGAAAACATTTCCGTGTTTTAGTCAACCAAACAGTGAAATAATTGTCTTTTCCTCTTTCATGGGCACTTGGCCCCTTTTGGCTTACATGTTAAACAAGGACAGTCCATGGCATCTCTTTTATTGTTCCCTGGAGCTGATTTAGATATGTTGTTTATACTTTCACAGGAAAAACATGTCAACATGATTCATATTGAGTCCCGGAAATCCCGGCGGCGAAGTTCGGAAGTTGAAATCTTTGTGGACTGTGAGTGTGGCAAAACGGAATTCAATGAGCTCATTCAGTCGCTGAAATTTCAAACCACAATTGTGACGCTGAATCCGCCAGAGAACATTTGGACAGAGGAAGAAGGCAAGGCCAGTTTTTGTTTGTTGGGTGATTTTGCAAGCTGACATGCATTGCAAAGGGGGAAGCTAATATTTCTGAACCTGCACTGTGTTTCCAGCAGAGCTGGAGGACGTGCCCTGGTTTCCCCGGAAGATCTCGGAGTTAGACAGGTGCTCCCACCGAGTCCTCATGTATGGTTCAGAGCTGGACGCCGACCACCCAGTAAGTGCCCGGTCAAGTCCATCCCACATGCGCTCTTCCAGCGTATGGCAGAGTGCCATATTCTGTGCCAGGATGCTTTATCATAGAGCAGTTTATTATTTATTCCCTGTAGCTGAGAGCAGACTCAAATGATAAGGCTTCTCTGTGCGTATGCATTGGCTGGAAGCAGCTTAGAGGGATGGTAGTTCTGTTGCAGGAAGGGGGATCCCTTCCAGGGCCCAAAACTGGGCTCTTGTCTAACACTCAGAAATGAATTGTCCGAAGAGACACATGTGCTGACAAAGGAAGAGGTTTTATTGGAAGGGCACCCGGGTGGAGAGCAGTAGGTAAGGGAACCCAGGAGAACTGCTCTGCCGCGCGGCTCGCAGTCTTGGGTTTTATGGTGATGGGATTAGTTTCCGGGTGGTCTTTGGCCAATCATTTTAATTTAGAGTCTTTGCTGGTGGCGCACGCATCGCTCAACCAAGATGGATGCTAGCGAGAGGGATCCTGGGAAGTGGACGGACAGGCAGTGTCTCCTCTTGACCTTTCCCGAACTCTTCCGGTTGGTGGTGGCTTATTAGTTCCGTATTCCTTATCAGGATCTCCTGTCATAAAACAACTCATGCAAATGGTTACTATGGTGCCTGGCCAGGGTGGGCGGTTTCAGTCAGTGTGCTTCCCCTAACAGTTCCACCTTGCTTTTATTTTTAAAAGGGTTGGATAAAAGAGGAGGAGAGTATAAACCTTGGAGAACGTTTCTGTAGAATTAGACAACCTGAAATATACTTGCAGATGGTGGCCCTTGGAAGAAAGGAGGAGCTGAAATTGGTCGCCTCTTTGGGAAATGAGGGAGGACTGGGTGTTGTGCGACTCAGTGAGAGAGTCGAGCTCTCCTTGTTGTTTTCCTGGACTGGAAGTAGTCAGGAGCAGAGCAGTGTGGTGGACTTCAGTCTCAATGGAAAGGCAGAGGGTGACAGAATCAGACCATGATGGAAGACGCATCTCTCCTTCCTGAGTCTATTGACCGCCATCTCAGCGCTACAGCTGTAAAAATGACCACCTTTGAAGAAATGTGATATGTAGTAAGCATTTCCATTATTTCCTCTCTTCCCCTTTACATCAGTTTTTATTTAACGCAGGAGGCCTGAAACTTCTTTATGGTCAGAATGAAGTACAGTTAGTAGTCTGGGAGAAGCAAGCAATGTACTCCTTCGTCACAAAAGATTTTCCCCCAGTGCCCTGTGTCTAAAAGTGGTGGATTAAAGGGTGAAACCCGAGCAGATTGGTCATACTTATAGAGCCTTTTGTGGACTGAGGGTAATGGTTTTCAGATATCCATCTTATTTAAATGGAGGAAGTCTGGAAATCTTACAGACTGTGCAGAGGCTCTCTCAGTGTGGTCCTGGGCCAGCTGCCTTGGTATCGCCCAGGGGCTTGTCTCACTAAGCCCACACTCAAGTGTGAGAACCACTGCTTTAAAGGAGGCCAGGACAACTTCAGCAAGAGCGAGCTGTTCAGTCAAACCAGTCTTTTGGCATAAAATACAAATTCAAACCAATTCATAGCATACCATTTAGTGGTCAGACAAACCTAATTCAATTCCATGATTCAAAAAACTGAGTGCGCTCAAAGACACATTCTGTTACATTTGCCAGGATACCTTAAAAATTCAGAATAATTCACAGTAGTTCACATGAAAGGTTCCTGAACTTTACAGAAATACTCAAAAGTGTCTTTAAGAATCATCCATTTGTTTATCTTCCCCTTCTCACCTCAGAGGAGTCAGGATTAGCACAGAAGCTGATCTAAGATCTTAGCAGTAGCAGGACGGCTCAGACACCAGCTGTTAATTTCAGGATGACCTTGGGCAAGTCCCCCTACTTCTGCAGCTCAGATTCTTTACACCAAATGTGGGCATAAAATGCTTATTGAGCTCAAAGGGGCGTTTGAAAGGCCTAGTTAATAAAACAACTGGAAAGCATTTTGGCAAGAGTAAATGCTTAATTCCGGGAAAGGAAATGCTGTATTAAATCATGCAGATCAATGCCTGGACAGTAAAGGAGTTTTTTGCTAACCCTCTTATTTCCAAATGCTCCCCTTAGTCTGGTTTGGAAATTACTCAGGTTGGAGAAAGGGGGTCAGAACAACCGCAGGAACCACTGACCTTGCTGTGAAAAAGTTTATTCTAATATCCAGCATAAATTCTTCTATGCTTAGCTTTGTTCCATCATTCCTAATTGTACCCATCTTATGATACCTTCTCTTATTTTCTACGCAGCCACTTGAAATAATTGCAAGTACTTAGCAATCTCCTACCTGACTCAGCATTTTTTAACCACACATATTTCTTTTATATAAGCACACCAAATATTCATTATGCAAAATTTAATGTTGGTAAGCTGGTGTTTTTAAAATTATTATTTGATGAAGATAGATAAAAGTTTCTAAGGAATTTTTGTGCCTTGGAATAATTTCAGTCCCAAGGCAGGGATTATTATGTTAGGATCACGTTCTTGTGCTGAGATGGCTCACAAGGGGCTTGGAATATGAGTCATGCTGCTGAGGTTCTCAGAAAGGGTTAAATATGTAGGTGAGTCCGTCTCTAACATTAAAGGACATACAAATCATGCAGATCTTTTCAAAATGCAGGTGGAGGTCCTGAGATTCTGCCTTTCTAGGGAGCTCCCGGTTGAGGCGTCACTGGTGGTCCAGGGACCACACTGAATAGCAAGGATCTAGACTGCGAGGGTCTTTCAAAGTGGGATTCAAGGTCACCTGCATAAGGCTCTCATTAAAATTGCAGTACCTTGGGGCTCATCTGAAGCCTACTGAATCAGAACTTCCAGGGACGGAGCCTGGAATCTGCCTTTAAATGGATTTACCCGAGAGTCTAGTGAGTGCTAAAGTTTGAGAGCTTGTGAGCCTAACTCGGTGATTCTTGGCCCTCGCTTTCCATTTAGATAATCTCTGGGAAATTAGAAAAATATACTAATGCCAGCATCTCCTCTCAGTGTCTTTGCATCAAAACCTCTGGGAATGCGTCCAGGTTTGGAGTATTATTTAAAGCTTGGCGGATGATGCCGGTGTTCTGCCAGGGTTGACCGATTTGGGATAGTCGTGCTCGCCAAAGTACATTCAGCTGAGCACTTTTGGGTGCTGGTTGGGTCTTCAGTTCCCCCTGATTTAAGTTGAGAGAGGAAGGGTCGTGTCTAGCAGACACTCTCTAAGTGCTTGTGTTGCCAGATTTAGCAAATACAAGTATAGGATGCCCAGTTACATTTTCATTTCATATAAACAATAACATTTCTTAGTATAAGTAATGTCCCAAATATTGCCTGAGTGTCTTTTATTTTATCTGGTAACTTTATCCCTGGCAACAATTTAGAATGGATGGCCAAGGAATTCTGTATCTCTGTAATCTAGTGTAGCTAGCATCTCTGTTCTATTTTGCCAGTTCATGCACGTTTCAATGCTGAAATTTCTGGTTCGCCCATAACACTTGTGTAATTACCACCATGCTAGGCTGATGAGCCATGATGAGTAAATCACTCTCTTGTGTGCCTGGAAAAGGTGCAGGTGTTTGCCAAGCAGACAGTCAAGATTCTTTGGGAAGCCCAGCAGATTATGATGCTGTTACCATGGTGTCTGGTTTGGCAGGAATCAGGGAACAGATGCTCAGATTTTCACATAACTCTTTTCCTTTTGTCGCGGCCTGCTTTCTCTTTGAGTATTAAGGGTGCTTGGCATTCTTCAGTTTTAGCATCCCAGGTTGTTGGGTGTGACTAGTGAGTGTTGAAATCCGCATTTTCTAGCATGACCACTTCTACCTCTGTGGCATAAGACATTTTTCTTAGGTCACAGACCCATTTGTAAAGGTGGTCACAAATTTTGTAAATGTAATCACAAATTTTGTATATAGACATTTGAAGGCTCCGTCAACCTGCTTTTGGACCCCCAGTTCATAGCAGAAAAGAGAGTGCTGGCCTTGAGGGTGGGTGCCCTTCCCTTCTGCAGGGCCTTTGGGTGAGCTCAGGGCCCTCATTTAAAGACCCCCCAGTTCATAGCAGAAAAGAGAGTGCTGGCCTTGAGGGTGGGCTCCCTTCCCGTCTGCAGGGCTTTTGGGTGAGCTCAGGGCACTCCCTGTCTCCCTCTGTTCCTGACCTCTTGTCGTTCCTGAGAGAAAGGCTCTTGGCAGTGGATGTTCTTTGTTTCTGTTTGGCATTCAGTCCTGTGAAGATTTCTGACCTCAAAGCCAGTTCTCCTTCAGCCGGAAGAGAGAGGAAAATGAGCTAAGGTTCCCCTTGAACGTGTCTGAGTGGATGCCGATTGAGCAGTGATGGCTCAGGGCTTCGTGGGCCTGTCCTGGTTCTCCTCCCGGAGCCCTGATCCCACAGCCTGTCTCCTTGACCGACCTTCTTTCTCAGAGTGGCCCTCCCATCTTGGTTTATTCCTCAGGGTTCCAGGGGTTGCAGAGGTAAGAAGTTTGAAACCATACCATCTGGGCTTCCAGCTGTTTGAAGAAACACCCCTGGGAAGAACCGATTGTCTGAAAGTACCTGAAAGAAAGGAAAATTGAAAGTCTGTTGACAAGAGCAGAGACTCTTGAATAAACCAGGAAGTCCTCTTGGAAGGACTCCACTTGATAGGAAAATGACAGACAGGATGGTTAATTTCCCAAGTGCATGATGCTGGGTAAAATCTTGAACTTGGCTGAAAACTAGTCAGAATTATAGGAACTCAGAGGGAAATGGAGCTAGCTTGCTATCCTGTGTCTGGATCCCTTGTAATCGATTTTGCTTTATGTGGCTATACTCATAACATACAGCAAAACCTCTTTAATTCATCCTAATTTGGGATTTTGATGATTATTCTGAGTGATAGAATTTTAATGCATGAACATTTACTGGTTATTTGCACAAAGCAATTAAATTTAGGTTAACTCACTGAATAGCCATGTTAAAGGGATCTGTTTTATTGAACAGATAAGATTAATTTGTAATTAAGATCAGTTACATGTAAATGATACTTAAAAACCAAAAGATATTGTTCACAATATCAATTTGCTTAACTAAGCCATTCTGCCTACTTATGGAGAGGTTAACTTTAGTCTGAATTCCCACGCATCCCAAATTAGGATAGCCCAAATTTAATGAGGTTTTACTGTAAGTACAATTTGCTTCTGCCTGTATCATCAAGGTGGTCATCCAAGGGGAAAAATTACATTTGAATTGGACCTTCAATAAACATCACAGCAATTTTCTTTTAGGCCTTCTGCAACTAACTTTTTTGGCAGTCTGTTAAATAACTTCATTTCTTTTCTGTTTAAGGGATTTAAAGACAATGTCTATCGACAGAGAAGGAAGTATTTTGTGGATGTCGCCATGGGTTACAAATAGTAAGTACCTGTGTGACTCTGTCCTGTGACTTGTTGCTGGTGGATTAGGTAAATCACATGCTGGGTTAAACAGACCTGTGTTCTCGTCCCTTTTAACTTTTGCAGAAAGCAGACATGAACCATTTTATACACTTACCAATGCTGTAGGCTTTAAATGCCAACACGGATGTTTGACATGTGGGTATAATTGTAAAATAATGAGTGCTGTGGGCCAACGCCAAGTGCTACATTTTCACCATGGTACTCAGAGGTCAACTAAGGCAAGGAGCCATTTCTGTACACTCTGCAGGGCCTGGGAAATGTGTTTTAATTTTACTTTTGACTTGACATTTTAGTTAGCTCCCTTCCATGTCCAGCTTCCCTGGTGAAAGTAGAGGATTCCACAGGAATGACGAAAAGGCTCATGTAAGCAGCAATCACAGAAAAGAAATGTGGTTGTTTTATAGGAAAAGGAAACTTCCTATAAACTGGAGGGTTTTTAAAAAAAAATTTTATTTATTATTTGGCTGCACGAGGTCTTAGTTGCGGCACTTGGGATCTTCAGTCTTCATAGCGGTGTGCGGACCAGGGATCTTTAGTTGTGGTATGTGGGATCTACTTCCCTGACCAGGGATCTAACCCAGGCTCTCTGCCGTGGGATCACAGAGTCTCAGCCGCTGGAGCACCAGGGAAGTCCCTAAACTGGAAGTTTCATCCCCAGTCGGGGATTAGGCTTGAGGTGAAACTGGAGAGCCTCGGGACTGGGCCAAGTGGCAGTGGCAGGAGGTTTGTGACTGGCAGCATGAGTGGCGGTGGCCGCAGGCCATACCCGGAAAGCTGGAGTGGATGTCAGCCCCTGCCTCTTCTGCTCACGCCGATGAAAATCGCGTAGGGACCGTCACAGCACTGCTGCATCATTCCTCTGGTGTTCCGTCAGCTCCATGCGTCTTCTGAACAGAACACACTTTAAACCCGTGCCTGGTAGGAACGCGTCTTTCTTCCTCTCACGGAGACTGCTGAGAGGCTTGACTGCCGTGTGGGGCAGGTTTGTCCTTGCTGAGAATTTGGGCCATTATGAGTGTTACGGAGGGTACCCTGTTTCCTTGATTTAAAGGAATCTGACACACAGGTATGAGAGCGACGTGAGCGAATCCCCCCACCCCTCTGGCTGGCAGTCCTGTTCTGTTCCTAACCCCCTCTGATGCTTTGGATGCTCTTTCCTCCCTCCTCCCAAGCCCCAGGCACCCCTCACTCTTTCTTATAAGCATGAAAAACGGACTCTTTGGCAGGCTTTCCCGCGTGTGTCTCCTCTCGGCCTGACTCCTCTGTTCCAAGCAGGTTCTTGACCCTCTTTAGACCACAGTGCCTTTCTGCCGCCTCCGATGGCAGCGTGCTCACGGCTTATCCCGCCCGCGCCTGACCTCACGGCCTCCACACCCTCAGCACCATCACTGTTAGCTCCATCTCCCAGTGTCCCCAGTCAGGTTGCCCAGTGAGGGCTCTGACGGGCCACATGCACCTTTTCACATCAGGCCCCGATAGAGGGCTGTGACCTTAATATTGGCCCCCTTGGTTCACAGACCCTCCCTGTGAAATCTGGTCATGTCTGCATAGGCAGAGCGTAGGCAGGACAGACCTTTGGGGCACGATCTGCCCAGGACATGGTAAAAGCTCGGTTCTTGGCAGATACTTTTTTTTTAGATAAAACAGATACAAAAAAATGTATTTAAAAAAAATGTATTTTATACACAGATGCTCCATGGAATGTATTATATATATAAGAACAGTATGTATGTATGTGTGTGTGTGTGTGTGTATTTATATATATGTAAAGGATTTTGTCAGCATAGGGATCAAGTGCATGTGTGCGTGCTCAGTTGTGTCTGACTCTTTTGTGACCCCATGGACTGTAGCCCACCAGTCTCCTCTGTCCATGGGATTCTCCAGGCAAGAATACTGGAGTGGGTTACCATTTCTTTCTCCAGGGGATCTTCCCAAACCAGGGATTCAACCCGCAGCTCCTGCATTGGCAGGTGGATTCTTTATCACTGAGCCACCAAGGAAGCCTGTAGTTATGACCAAGGGACTACCTCAAATAATAGTTATTTCTTCTTGTGGACCCCAGAAATTGGACCACGACAGGCTTATAATGTAGTGGCACTAGTAGAAACTGGTATACACGAGTCCACCCGTTTCAAGGAGCACTGATAATGGGGACTTTTATGGTTTTAAAGGAAGCATATTTGTTTGGAGAGGAGAGGAAAGGAGCAAATAGTTATAATGATGAAGGGTGAGGCCCTCAAAGTGTTAACAGGAGCTTGCAGTTGCCATTTCCCATTAGCTAAAGTGAAATTGAGGGCTGATGTCTACGGAAAATGAAAGTAAAAACTGGAGGTTGGACGTGGTGGAGGTTTTATACAAAGGAGGGCTGCACGCAGGTGGAGCAGTCCAGGATCTGGTTCCCGTCTGGAGGGGACTGACTCCTAGTAACCGAATGTTCAGGAGGCTGAGATAGGCAGGGCACTGCCTCTTCATCATTACCTAGGCAGAAACCACTCTCCCTGTGGTCCTGATGCCAGGGAGGTCAGATTACACTAGTCAGTGGGTACAGCATCAGAGCAAAGGGTGTTTGGACAAGAGAGTTTGGAACCCAGGGGCCTTGTCACCCTCTGCCCTGGACAGTGCTGACCACAAAGAATAAGAAAGTGGTTCACAGCTGGGGTTTTGGAGTCAGACAGGGCGGAGCTGGAGTTCCAGCGTCACTGCTCCCTAGCTGGTGAGCACTGCAGGCCCTCCTTCTGGGAAGCGTGTCTGACAGGAGGGCCCGTCTCAGGGCTGTCCGGGCTACGAGGGAGTGTGTACGCCGTGCTGAGCACGAACCTGGCACTCGGTTTGTGATCACTGGTGTCAGTTACTGCTCTTAGCTCTGCCCCCTCCCTTTCCTCAGGCTGGCTTCTGCTTCCCTTTGATCTACTGGTCCATTCTTTAGCCATCTTAACAGCACCATTTAGGCACCATCTTAGGAAATACTATAGCTTGAACATCCCGAGAAGTAATCCTTGAAAGAAAATTCCTCCAGCTTCTCATTTAAAAGGCTGCTCATAGACTGATAACTCTTCATGCTGAACAGCCTCCCTCTTTATGGAGAAATTTCATAGGAAACAGTCATATTCCCATTTGGGCATGTGTGGGAAGCTGCCAAGATACTGAGAAAGGTCACCCGTTGCCTCAGGTGCTTCTTGTAAGTGGATGGTGTGAGGGAAGTGGAGAGAAAAGGATCATTCCTTGATGCCCTTCGTGCCGTCATCGCTGTGGCTTCTCTGACTGTGGCTTTGAGGATGGCTGTGGGCTAGCTGTTACGCATGTGTGTGCATGTGTGCAAGCTCGTGCGATGGTGCTGGTTGGTTGGGGCACAAGTTCTTACAAGTCCCGAGAGGGCCTGGGCCATGGTCTCCACTGTGCCATGCGGTAGGGAAGGTTTCCTTTTGGTTTAACAGAAAAGAAAAGATGCAATTTCTAATTGCAGTATGTATTTTCTAGTGCTGTTGGTTTTCCAGGTGAGCAAAGGGGAAAGATGTCAATACAGTAATTACCTAAGTTCGCTTGAGTGGCTTCTGGCAGCATGCTGTGACTGGATTTTTCCAAAGCAAAGCTTGGAACCACTGGTCTGAGAAGCCAGATTAGTTGAAATTGGGGTGGTCCTGAAAAAATTCAGCAAGTGAGGTTTCTGCAAATATAGTTTAGTAATAATAAAATTAGGGACTATTTGAACATGGGGGAAATAATTCAGTTCCCTGTTGATAGTTCGTTCAGGCTTTATGGACACTGAGGTCAGAAATATAGATGGAGATGGAGCACAGATATTTTAGTGGTGTCGTAGCAATCAGCAGGATGGAGTCTGAGGTGTCAAAAGATGAAGAGGAGAGGAAGCGAAGTACAGAATAATGTATATTGAAACCACAGCCAAGAAGCGCTCTGAGGAATTCGTGTTGAATACCATATTTTCTATGATAGTCTTGAAAGGATAAACCAGGGGGAAAGAATCAACACAAGCAGAGAAAAATGAAAAAAAATTCCTCTCGATGATGAAAAAACAGCAGGCTCAAAGTCTGTGTTACCTTGAGACAGAAAGCAGAAAGGGAGTGGGGATATGTGGCCTGCTGAGAACTGTCCATAGGGGCCACTCAGGGAGTTTCTGATTGGCAGAGCTGCTGGGAAACAGGACTGATTACCCGGAGGCCTGTGGCTGCTGCAGACATGCCTGAATGGTGGGCCGCGAGGGTCTGCAAGGCCTGATTGCCTGGCCGGTGACAGCAGAGGAAGCCTTCATCAGTGGAAATATCACTCTCCATGGCCCGACCTGAGACGGAAGGCGGTGGATGGGGAAGGAACGCACTGTTTCTGAAGTCATCTGTGAGACACCGAGTCCTCTAAACCCTGATCTCCTCCACCCAAATGAAAGAAATCCTGGCATAAACAGATAAAGGAGCCTCCTGCTTAGATAATGTGAAGGGTATATGGACATGCACTTCAGAGGAAATGGAAGTGCATGGGGTGGCGCAGATGCTCTGTGGAGGAAGAGAAAATTTTGACTGTGGTGCTGGGGCTGTCAGATCTGAAACTCTTCAGTTCTGGTGTGGCGAAACATGTGACAGAATGTCTAGGCTTTGGAGCTAAACAGAACTGGGTTTGAATTCCTGTTCTATCACTTACAAGCTCTGGCCATGAGCACTGACCTAGGCTCCTGGTCTCAGTGCCCGTGTCTTAAAATGGACACAGTGTCCACCTTGAATGTTTGGGAGGATTATCAGTGCTTCAGGGCTCAGATGCTGATTGCTACAAGCTGGGGTTGATTCTATGACAGATATGATTATTATTATCATGTGTTGAGTAGCTGGTGGTTCCTTGATTCCATGTAATCATCTGTTAAGCTTTAAAATAAACACAGTACCTTAAGGAGTGAATGAATTAGGGAATTTCAAGCCCCACAATAGACTGGGTTAAAGGAGGTTAAAAAAAAT